CAGCTGCTGCAGCTCTGACTCCAGCCCTGACTTGGTCTTGGATTTGGAGCTGCTGCTGCTCCTCCCCTTCCTCCCTCCTCAGAGGTGTGCCTAATTTGGTACCGTGCTGCCTGACTACCAGGTCTGCAATGGACCCTCTGCAGGGAATGAAGATTGAGGGAGATGAATAGGAAGTGTCTGGGCAACAGGGCTCTTCCTGAGCTTAGATTTCCCCTCTGGTAACTGGCTGCTTCCTGACCCCGTGGGGCCCTGACTCAGCTTGCTTGTAGACGTCACTCTGTTTGGTCTCCTGGGTCCCTGACTCAGCTTGTCCCCAAACTCACTTTCTGTCTCTGACTCTGGTTTATACCCCTATCTAGTAATCGTGAGCCCTGATTAGCTTCCAGGCCAGAGGTGGGTTTATGGTATTATCTTCTGGGCAGGTGCTGGGGATAAAAACAGCCCCAGTTTGAGCCCCCACACAGACCATCCAGAGTAGGTCTGCTCCACCCAGTGCAGTGCCCCACAGAGATACCCGAGGAAAATCCCCATGCAGCAACTCCAAGCCCAGAGCATCCTGGCCAGGTCAGCGCGGTGCCTGCCTGGGAGCAAAGCAGATTGTTCCAGCAGAGCAACACATTAGCACAGGTGCATCTTTTTCAGGGCTAAACTAGCTCATATAGCTCTCACTTGGGGGTCTCTGGCTGGCATGACTGTGCCCTGTAGATGTGCCCTCAGGGACGTCGCTTGGGGTTCCTGATGGGCAAGGCTCCCTGACTGGCCAGCAAAGTGTTCAGGCAGAGTTTCTCTGGAGGGAAGGGGCACAGAAAACACCTAGGCCAGGGGCACAGAAGGCACCTGGGAAACCACATCAATGCTACACATGAGAGTCCTGCCTCCAGGGTGCCTGGGCAACAGCCACCATCCCTACCCTCTTCCCAGGGCTGTGAGTGATAAAGACACAATCAGCCACCACCCACTCCCATCCTCTCTCACCCCAGCCAAGGGTGTCCAGGGCTAGCAAATCCAAAATCAGGGCAGGGCCATCTTTCCTCCAAACTGGGGGTTGTGCTGCTCTGGGGATTGACCTCCTCTCCCAGCTGAGGGGACCCAGCTGCAGGCTAGGAGCTCCCTCACGCCCTGGGGAAGTCTGCCATTGTGGAAGGTGAAATAGCTACAGCAGGCAGGAGTGAGAGGAGTGACTGAAGCTCATGTCCTGCTTGCCCAAATATCATTATGTTATGTTATTTATTTTTTTTTTAATTTTGTGTCTCAGACTAAATCAACCAGATCAGTTCCGAATGTTGTTGACTGAACAGAGCTTAACTGTTCAAGTCTGTGTTGTGCTACTACTGGCCAGTATCCTCCCTCCCAAACTCTTCATCCCGGGGCTTCAGATACTCTCAAATCCATGCCAGGCATCCTACATGCAAGCCAAAAGCCTGGAGGCCACTGCCTTGGAGTTGAAATGCCCTCTATCTCACTTGCCCATAGCCAAAAGACTGAAGGAACAAGCTAGGGGGAAAGCCTGAAATCAATCCCTAATCTCCATAAATTGTGTAACCAAGATCCTCACATTGGGAGGCTATGGTGGACTCACAGAGGTGCCTGCCTGCAGTGCAAAGGACAGATCGACAGATCTCCACCCTCAACTACACCAAGTCGTTCAAGGCCAGGAAGAAGGGGAACTCCCCTGCCAGGTACAGTAAAACCACATGGGCCAACAGCATCATCATGGTATCTCCTTTGCCAGGTACTTTATATTGAAAAATGTATGTATATCTATCTATCTATCTATCTTGTGACTACTGTGGTTCACTTGACAGTCCAAAACACACCTTTACAATGATACCATTCTTATTCCTGTTACAAAAACTGCACCACACACCTGCACACCCGTGTTCCTGCATGACTGTCACCTTTAACCATCACAATTATATAAAGGACTACCTCAGTGCCCCACCCCACCCTTCTTCCTTCCCTTCCCAACTCCCCCCACCTGTTTCCCCAGTCCTTTCACTTATTGTATTTGTGGTCATATCCATCATCATCGTCGTCCTCATCATTATCATTGTTGCTCTCTTTGGAGGGCTCACCTCTGAATAGTCTATGCCAGTCCTCTCTCTTCCATATGATGCCTACCATTCTTGCCTGTTGTCTTCGACCATCTTCCTGTAGTACCAGTACATCTCACTCACATTTACACCCCTGTAAATGTGCTTTCTCCATAGCTACTCTTAAATTTAGCCTCATTGGGTTTGGGGATATAGATGTCCTTTCAACAATGGGAACAACATGAAAGAGACCTCATGTGCATGGTTATCAGTCATTCCTGGGAATTTATCACGGGTGTCAAAAATCTGTCCATGTAATATGTCTTTCCTGATGTTTATTTCAATGAAGCACCATGCAAATACAGTTAATATTGCATCATTCATTGCACTAGGAGGGAAGGTAGAAATCTTGACATTATAACCAATTATAACTGATTTTTGGGGGACTCTCCAAAAGCTCTCTTCAGGACTCTATTTGAAGGAAGCTTGGGTGATCCCCTGGGGTTGGTATGATGGGAGAAGGGCAAACAGCCCAAAGCAGAGCCTCTCCCCCCTCCTCCCAGAAGATGGGAGAGGGGAGGAGTAGGTTGCTTTGCTGGGAGAGATGGTATAAAGGAGGAATATGGGTAGTTGGGAGGACTCAGGCGGGTACAGTGCCTGGAGAGCCCACTGAGGGAAAGGTATCTTGTTGGAGAGATTGTTACACTTAATTTTAACTGTGTTTGGGATGGAGACTCGTCATACAGTGAGACCATTCCAGTCACAACTCAATTATTAGGATACCCAGTAGAAAAGACCTATTGAGATTAATAAAGACAAAGCTTACATAGTCTCAGATTCAGGCAGAAAACAAGTCCACTAGCCAGGCCTCTCTGTTCCCTTGGGGACTTGAGCTTTGGAGAAGTCCAGATTTTGAAGTCCAGAAGTAGATGTCCCAAACTGTAAAAGTCCAAATTTCACTCCAGCCTATGCCCAATATTTATAGATGGCTGGTCCCAATATTTTAATGAATGATCTTTGATTAGTTTTATTTAAATGTCTTTGTCTCACTGAAACTTTTAGAACTGGATGTAACTAGCTTTCTCATGGACCTGGAAGGTGTCAATTAATTGGGATTTATGTCCTTGAGAAACCAAAAGGAGCAAAAGGGGGGCTTCCTTGTCTCCTTTTCCTGCCAATTATGCAATGTTGTTTTCCATGGGTTTGGTACTGAAGAGTGGCTACAAAGAGGATGCAGCTGGACTGTGGTGTCAAGTGACAGAACAAGGAGCAATGCCCTCAAGTTGCAGCAAGGGAGGTTTAGGCTGGATGTTAGGAAAATCTTTCTCACT